GGGAAAAAAAAAAGGAAACACGGGGAACACACGGGGAAAACACGGGAAAAACACGGGAAAAACACGGGGAACACACGGGAAACACGGGAACACACGGGGAAACACGAGGAAAACATGGGGAAACACGGGAAAAACATGGGAAAACACGGGAAAACATGGGAAACATGGGAAAACACGGGAAAAACATGGGGAAACACGGGAAAACACGGGAAACATGGGGAAACACGGGGAAACACGGGAATGGGGAATGGGGAATGGGGAAAACGGGGAATGGGGAATGGGGGAAAGGGAAAAGGGGGAAAATGGGAATGGGGAAACAGGAATGGGGAAACGGGAATAGGGAAACAGGAATGGGGGGAAACAGGGAAAGGGGAAAAGGGAACGGGAAAATGGGAAAACGGGAAAAGGGGAATGGGGAAAGGGAAAGGGAATGGGAAAAACGAGAATGGGGACAGGGAAAGGGGATGGGAAAAAGGGGAAAGGGGAATGGGGAAGGGAAAAGGGAACAGGAAAAGGGGGAAAGGAAACGGGAAAAAGGGGAAAGAAATGGGAAAAAGGGAAAGGAAATGGGACAAAGGAGAAAGGAAATGGGAAAAGGGGAAAGGAAACGGGAAAAGGGGAAAGGAAATGGGAAAAGGGGAAAGGAAATGGGAAAAGGGAAATGGGAAAAGGGGAAAGAAATGGGAAAAGAAAAGGGGAAAAAGGGGAAAGAAAAGGGGAAAAAGTGGGATAGGAAATGGGAAAAAGGGGAAAGGAAATGGAAAAAAGGGGGGTAGGAAATGGGAAAAAGGGGGAAAGAAAAGGGGAACAAGCAGGAAAGAAAAGGGGGGGAAATGGAAAGGAAACGGGAAAAGGGGAAAGGAAAGGGGAAAAGGGGAAAAGGGAACAGGAAAATGGGAAAAGGGAATAGGAAACGGGGAAAGGGAATGGGAAAAGGGGAAAAGAAAAGGGGAAAAGGGGAAAAGGGGAAAAGAAAGGGGAAAGGGGGAAAAGGTGGAAAAGGGAGAGGAAGGGGAAAAATGGGGAAAAGAAAGAGGAGAGAGGAAGAAAGAAAGGGGGAAGGGGGAAAAGGATAAAGAAGAAAAAGGAATTCACTCGGGATTCTCCCGGCATTCCCGCTGGATTTCCCCAAAATTCCCAGGTGGATTTCCCTGGAATTCCCACTGGATTTCCCTGGCATTCCCAAATGGATTTCCCTGGAATTCCCACTGGATTTCCCTGGAACTCCCAGGTGGATTTCCCTGGCATTCCCAAATGGATTTCCCTGGCATTCCCGGTGGAATTCCCGGCATTCCCGCTGGATTTCCCCGGCATTCCCGGTGGAATTCCCGGCATTCCCGGTGGATTTCCCCGGCATTCCCGCTGGATTTCCCCAAAATTCCCACTGGGATTTCCCCGTCATTCCCGCTGGATTTCCCCGGCATTCCCGCTGGAATTCCCGGCATTCCCGCTGGATTTCCTGGCATTCCCGCTGGAATTCCTGGCATTCCCGCTGGATTTCCCTGGCATTCCCGCTGGATTTCCCCGGCATTCCCAGTGGAATTCCCGGCATTCCCAGTGGAATTCCCGGCATTCCCGCTGGAATTCCCGGCATTCCCGGTGGAATTCCCGGCATTCCCGCTGGGATTCCCGGCATTCCCGCTGGATTTCCCGGCATTCCCGGTAGAATTCCCGGCATTCCCGGTGGAATTCCCGGCATTCCCGGTGGAATTCCCAGCATTCCCGGAGGAATTCCCGGCATTCCGAGGGATCCCGCACCTGCAGACCAGCTCCCCGTCCATGGCGTCCTGCTCGTCCGTGCTGGCGAAGGAGACGCGGCCGCCGATGACGGCGCCGATGATGTAAACCAGCCACGTCAGCCGCCCTGGGGACACGGACACGGGAACATGGGACACGGGACACGGGACATGGGAACATGGGAACATGGGACACGGGACATGGGAACATGGGACACGGGACACGGACACGGGAACATGGGAACATGGGAACATGGGAACATGGGACACGGACACGGACACGGGACAGGGGAACATGGGAACATGGGAACACGGGAACATGGGAACATGGGAACATGGGACACGGGACAGGGGAACATGGGACATGGGACACAGACACGGACACGGACACGGACATGGGAACATGGGACACGGGACACGGGAACATGGGAACATGGGACACGGGACATGGGAACATGGGACATGGGACACGGACACGGACACGGGACAGGGGAACATGGGAACACGGGAACATGGGAACATGGGAACATGGGACACGGGACATGGGAACAGGGGACATGGGACACAGACACGGGACAGGGACACGGGACAGGGACACGGGAACATGGGACACGGGACACGGGAACACGGAACATGGGACACGGGACAGGGACACAGGACAGGGACATGGGACACGGACACGGGACATGGGAACACGGGACACGGGACACAGGACATGGGAACACGGGACACAGGACACGGACACGGGACACGGGACACAGGACACGGGACACGGACACGGGACACGGTCAGGGTGGCACCACGGCTGGCACCCGGTGGGTGACAGAAGAAATCCCCAAAGAAATCCGCTTTTTTTTCCCCAAAAAAATCCGTTTTTCCCCAAAATAAATCAGTTTTTTTCCCCAATAGAAATTCATTTTTTCCCCCAAAAGAAATCTGTTCTTTTCCCCCCCTCAAAAAATCCCATTTCTTCCCAAAAGAAATCAGTTTTCTTCCAAAATATCCATGGGATGGAATGGGATCAATGGGATGGGATGGGATCCAAGTGATGGGATCTATGGGATTTGGGATCCATGGGATTGGGATGGAATTCATGGCATGGGATCCATGGGATGGGATCCATGGGATGGGATCCATGGGATGGGATCCATGGGATGGGATCCATGGGACTGGGATCCATGGGATGGGACTGGGATCCATGGGATGGGATCCATGGGATGGGACTGGGGATGGGACTGGGATCCATGGGATTGGGATGGGATCCATGGGATGGGATCCAAGGGATAGGACTGGGGATGGGATCCATGGGATGGGATCCATGGGATGGGATCAGGGATGGGATCAGGGATGGGATGGGATCCATGGGATGGGATCAGGGATGGGATCAGGGATGGGATGGGATCAGGGATGGGATAGGATCCATGGGATGGGATCCCATCTGACCTTCCTGCACCGCCAGGTCCATGGGGCTGCTGGGGGCACTGATGGGATGGGATCCATGGGATGGGATCAGGGATGGGATCAGGGGTGGGATGGGATCCATGGGATGGGATCAGGGATGGGATCAGGGATGGGATGGGATCAGGGATGGGATCAGGGGTGGGATGGGATCCCGGCTGACCTTCCTGCACCGCCAGGTCCATGGGGCTGCTGGGGGCACTGATGGGATGGGATCAGGGATGGGATCAGGGATGGGATGGGATCCATGGGATGGGATGGGATCGGGGGTGGGATGGGATCCATGGGATGGGATCAGGGGTGGGATCCCGGCTGACCTTCCTGCACCGCCAGGTCCATGGGGCTGGCGCTGGCGCTCTGCAGCAGCTCCTGGTAGGACTGGGCGGCCTGGTCGAAGAGCTGCACCAGCAGCGCGCACGTCTTCTCGTACTCGCAGCGCCCGATGGTGGACAGCTGGTCCAGCTGCTGCTGCACCAGCCCCGTGTCCTCCAGAGGGTCCTCCAGGCCATCCCTGCAAAAGCCACGGGAAATGGAGCAGGGAACTCCCTGGGGGATTCCCTAAAATCTGAGGGTTTGGGAAAAAACCATGGGAAATGGAGCAGGGAACTCCCCATGTAGGATTCCCTAAAATCTGAGGGTTTGGGAAAAAACCATGTGGGAAATGGAGCAGGGAACTCCCCATGTGGGATTCCTTAAAATCTGAGGGTTTGGGAAAAAAACATGTGGGAAATGGAGCAGGGAACTCCCGGTGGGATTCCCTAAAATCTGAGGGTTTGGGAAAAAAACATGTGGGAAATGGAGCAGGGAACTCCCTGGGGGATTCCTTAAAATCTGAGGGTTTGGGAAAAAACCATGGGAAATGGAGCAGGGAACTCCCCATGTGGGATTCCCTAAAATCAGAGGGTTTGGGAAAAACCATGTGGGAAATGGAGCAGGGAACTCCCGGTGGGATTCCCTAAAATCTGAGGGTTTGGGAAAAAAACATGTGGGAAATGGAGCAGGGAACTCCCCATGTGGGATTCCTTAAAATCTGAGGGTTTGGGAAAAAGCCATGTGGGAAATGGAGCAGGGAACTCCCCATGTGGGATTCCTTAAAATCTGAGGGTTTGGGAAAAAAACATGGGAAATGGAGCAGGGAACTCCCTGTGGGATTCCCTAAAATCTGAGGGTTTGGGCAAAACCCACATGAAAATGGACCAGGGAACTCCCCATGTAGGATTCCCTAAAATCTGAGGGTTTGGGAAAAAACCATGTGGGAAATGGAGCAGGGAAGTCCCCATGTGGGATTCCTTAAAATCTGAGGGTTTGGGAAAAAGCCACATGAAAATGGAGCAGGGAACTCTCTGTGGGATTCCCTAAAATCAGAGGATTTTGAGAAAAACCCACATGAAAATGGAGCAGGGAACTCCCCATGTGGGATTCCTTAAAATCAGAGGATTTTGGGCAAAACCCACGGGGGAAATGGAGCAGGGAACTCCCCATGTGGGATTCCTTAAAATCAGAGGGTTTGGGGAAAAAACATGTGGGAAATGGAGCAGGGAACTCCCCATGTGGGATTCCTTAAAATCACAAGGATTTTGGGAAAAAGCCACGTGGGAAATGGAGCAGGGAACTCCCTGTGGGATTCCTTAAAATCTGAGGGTTTTGGGCAAAACCCACGGGGGAAATGGAGCAGGGAACTCCCTGTGGGATTCCTTAAAAATAGAGGATTTTGGGCAAAAGCCAGGGGGGAAATGGAGCAGGGAACTCCCCATGTGGGATTCCTTAAAATCAGAGGATTTTGGGCAAAACCCACATGAAAATGGAGCAGGGAACTCCCCATGTGGGATTCCCTAAAATCAGAGGGTTTGGGAAAAAGCCATGTGGGAAATGGAGCAGGGAACTCCCTGTGGGATTCCTTAAAATCAGAGGATTTTGGGAAAAACCCATGGGGGAAATGGAGCAGGGAACTCCCCATGTGGGATTCCCTAAAATCTGAGGGTTTGGGAAAAACCCACGGGGGAAATGGAGCAGGGAACTCCCTGTGGGATTCCCTAAAATCTGAGGGTTTGGGAAAAAGCCATGGGAAATGGAGCAGGGAACTCTCTGTGGGATTCCTTAAAATCAGAGGATTTTGGGCAAAAGCCAGGGGGGAAATGGAGCAGGGAACTCCCTGTAGGATTCCTTAAAATCACAAGGATTTTGGGAAAAATCCATGTGGGAAATGGAGCAGGGAAATCCCCATGTGGGATTCCCTAAAATCTGAGGGTTTGGGAAAAAACCATGGGGGAAATGGAGCAGGGAACTCCCGGTGGGATTCCCTAAAATCTGAGGGTTTGGGAAAAAGCCACATGAAAATGGAGCAGGGAACTCCCCATGTGGGATTCCTTAAAATCTGAGGGTTTGGGAAAAAAACATGGGAAATGGAGCAGGGAACTCCCTGTGGGATTCCTTAAAATCAGAGGATTTTGGGCAAAACCCATGTGGGAAATGGAGCAGGGAACTCCCCATGTGGGATTCCTTAAAATCAGAGGATTTTGGGAAAAATCCATATGGGAAATGGAGCAGGGAACTCCCCATGTGGGATTCCCTAAAATCAGAGGATTTTGGGCAAAACCCACAGGGAAATGGAGCAGGGAACTCCCTGTGGAATTCCCTAAAATCAGAGGATTTTGGGCACGTTGCAAAAGGCCTTGGAGGCAGCAGGATGGTGATTTAGAGTGAAGCAGTAGCTGTAATATTTGTCAGCAGAAAAATTATACAAGAAGTAGAAAAAAAGGAGAATTAGAACAATGATTTTTATATTAATGCTTGGGTGGGATAACTGCCTAAGTTGCAAGAAGTTACAATCTGTGTTGTTTAAGTTTTTCCCTCAGAACGTGGCTGGAAGGATTTAATGCTCAGCACGCTGCACCTTCTGCTTCCTTTAGTGGCCTGGTGGCCAAATTAAGCAGGAATTTCAGAGTACAACGTTGGGAGCAAATTCCCAGTGCTTCCAGAGGGAAAAGAGAAGGAAAACAAAGCAGGGAGTTAGGATTTGTGTGGTTTGCTTTAAGTTTTTCACAAAGAATTTAGGTGGGATGGTGCTTAAACCTCAGTTCCTTCCACCAGCCTGGTTGCCAAATTAAGCAGGAATTTCAGAGCACAATTTTGGGAGCAAAATCCCAGTGCTGCCAGAGGGAAAAGAGAAGGAAAACAAAGGAATAACAATTTGTGTTGTTTAAGTTTTTCCCTCAGAATTTGGGCTGGAAGGGTTTCAAGCTCAGCTCGCTGCACCTTCTGCTTGCCTTTAATTCCTCTTTTGCCAAATTAACTAGGAATTCAAGGAACTGAAATTAAGGAATTTCAGAGCACACTGGTGGAAGTAAATTCCCAGTGCTTCCAGAGGGAAAAGAGAAGGAAAATAAAGCAAGGAGTTACAATTTGTGTTGTTTAAGTTTTTCCCTCAGAATTTGGGTGGGAAGGTGCTTAAACCTCAGTTCCTTCCATCAGTTACAATTTGTGTTGTTTAAGTTTTTCCCTCAAAATTTGGGTGGGAAGGTGCTTAAACCTCAGTTCCTTCCATCATCCAGGTTGCCAAATTAAGCAGGAATTTCAGAGCACAAGGTTAGGAGTAAATTCCCAATGCTGCCACAGGTAAAAGAGAAGGAAAATAACCCACGGAGTTATGATTTGTGTGGTTTGGTTTAAGTTTTTCCCTCAGAAATTGGGTGGGAAGGTGCTTAAACCTCAGTTCCTTCCACCAGCCAGGT